ATTTTAGTGTTTAGTGACCTATACAGTTAGCATACAGCTATTTAGCCATATTTATAAGATACTGGACAATTTTTTGTTACTTTTGAATCCCTGACTTTACTGGAGGTACATGAAATGTACTAATTTAAGAACTCCTTTGTGGGTATGGGTGTTGTTGCCTAGTTTTGACAGATAAGATGCATACATTTATTGTAGAAGATGTAATGGTTGCACTTTCCTTCACTTCAACGGAAAACAGGTGATTGTCAGTCCTTTTAGGATTATAGTCAGTTGACAAACATTAAACTTGCCTCATGCTGTTCCACGGTGGTGTTGGGCTAGTCTGTTCTAACTCAGAAAGCTGAACAAGCTTCTGGTGATTGGGTTTTGTTGTTTGTTTGGGGTGGGTTTTGGGGGATTTATTGTTGGTTTTTTGTTTGAGTTTTTTTTGTAATGCAGTGTAGTATCTTTTCCTATTTAAGGTAGTTCCTTTCCCAAGTAAGTTAAATAAAGGTACTCAGATAAACTTTTACAGTCTGAACCTGTACTTAGAGTACTTTGTTAGTACAGATCAATGTATCAGCTGCTTGCTTCTGCTGTGGGCACTGTTTTTGCCAGAATAACGTTCTGCTTAGAGGCTTTTCTAGTGTTTCTTGGCAACCAGTTGCTAATGCAGAAAAATATATTAAATCTGACTTGTATAAGTATTAACTAGATGTTTCATGGCTGTCGTTTACCTCAGTGAATTACAGGAAAAAAAAGTGTTTTCATCTTAAAAGGAGGGAGGCTTTAATTTTGTAGTGCTTACTGGGCTGTCTTAATTGTGGGTTAGATTAGGTTGGGTATTCCTCTTGCTAGCTTGCATGTCAAATCAACTGTGATAAGAAAGAAGCATCTTACATACAATGCATAATATTCTGACCACAGTCTGTGTGGACATGCTTTAGGTCCCACTGAATTGCTGGGCAATGTTACTGGTTTGCAGTTTTTATCAGGTATCAGAAGAGTAAAGCTGACCAAATTTTTGCAGATTTGACTATGCTCCACTTGATGATAACCAGAGAGCTAGTAAGGCTCTAATCAGTTTTCTGTTTTAGGTCCACTAGAGTTACTGGTAAAGGCTTTCAACTGGTATACAAGTCACAACTGCATTTACAAATCCATATTTTAAAAGATAAACCTGTATTTCAGTATCATTCAGGCATAAGGCAAAAAAAAATTTACTGGAAATACAGAGTAAACAGTTGTCCCTTTTAGTCAGGAATGTTACAGAATATACTTGCTTGTTCCTCTACCAACTACTGTTTCATAGTTTATCCTCTTCAGGACGTTTTTGTATTCAGAAGTGCTTTTTTTTTGCCTTGCTGTGTAGTTGTGGTTTTGTCTGTTTCACTTTATATTCCGCTCTTGTTAACATTTCTAATTTTCTAGGTACGGAATCCGTCCTGAAAATGTGATTATATATGGCCAGAGTATAGGAACAGTACCATCTGTGGATCTTGCTGCTAGGTATGAAAGTGCTGCTGTAATTCTTCATTCTCCACTGACCTCAGGAATGCGAGTAGCTTTTCCTGATACGAAGAAGACCTATTGCTTTGATGCATTCCCAAAGTAAGTTGTAGGATTTTTAATTCTGCATGCATTTTTCTCTATTACAGAAGTTTTAAGACTAGGGAAACAAGTAATATGGCAAATTCTCTGAAATTTCCATCAAAGGTTTAAGAAAACATTTGGAGAAAAATCAGAGTGAATAACAGTTATGAGAGAGGTTTGATTCAAAGGCATTGACAGGACTTTGTAAATCATCTGGGTTTTTTGCATCTCTGATAATTTCATTGGGTATCTCTTAAAGAAGCGATTAATATTCCTATATGTGACCCCTAATATCACTAATTCTAGCAAGCAGTTCTAGCCCAGTGAATTGTTAGTCTGAATAACTGTGGACAAAGTCTTTTGTCTATGTTTCTGTAAGTAGCAAAAACTGGAAAACTAAGTAGACCTTAACTGAAGAAAATTCCTGTCACATATTTCAGACCTGTGCCACTAGCTGGCCATTACAAACTGGTACACTTATCTCAAAGAATTACTTGTATTTTGAGCATCTAACTTAAAAGTCTTTTTTCTCCGAATAGACAGTCAAACTTTAAGTGCTAAAATTCTTTCACTTCTCACAAGTGCTTTTTTACTGAAAAACTCTGAAGTAATATTTTTCAGTCCAGTGCCTTTGATTTTTTTTGAAGTGAACATGGTAATGAATACCACTTTCAGATGGATTGCTCTGTTATTTGATCCTAAGAGTTTCCATTTCCCTTTTGAGTGGCTTTACATGTGCTACTGTAGTGACTTTCAGGATGTTGATAAGATCTAATTTTCTTACAATTTAAACAACTTCAGAATTAAATTTTTAGAACTGCAATGTGTAATTAAAAAATGAAGTTAACAATCTGGTCCTTCAAAAACATTTAATAAAGCTCACTGTGTTCATAGATATAATCTTTTTCTTACAGCATCGACAAAATTTCTAAAATAACATCTCCTGTGTTAATAATCCATGGGACTGAAGATGAAGTAATTGACTTTTCACATGGCCTAGCGTTATTTGAGCGTTGCCAGAGACCTGTAGAACCACTGTGGGTAGAAGGAGCAGGCCATAATGATGTGGAGCTCTATGGACAGTACCTTGAAAGATTGAAACAGTTTGTGTCACACGAACTGGTGAACTTGTAATTTTCTTTGTATATTTACATGCTTTTTTCATTTCACTGCATAACTGCACGCCTTGATAAATACATAACATAAAACCTGAAGGTTGTGTTTTCAAATCATCTTGGTTGCCTTCATTAAATGTACAGGTAATGATTTGTCAACATAATTAATGAAGGTTTTAATGCCAGTATTATAAACTGGAATTACATGATCATGCAGGCAAGCTTCGCAGTTCATATTACTTTGTGTGAGATTTATTTTTTCTTCTTAGATGTAAAAAAAAAAAAAAATCACAAGGAGTACTGTATGAAATGTTAATTATATAAAATCAAATGCTGTAAAAGTGTTGCCAAATGCTTTAGCATATCAAAAACAAGTTTATAAATATTTTTTAAACATCTCAAAATGTACTGTGACTTACTGTGTTGCACAGGTGTAAATTAAAAACCAGACTTCTAAGCAGTTGTTCTGTAACAATGTAATAGCCATGAAATTTGAGCAAATACTAATGTATGTAATAAAAATAGACAGTCACTGGAAATGACCTATGCCCTGTTATAGGGGGAGAGGGTCAAAATAGATCTCTTTTCCCATATTTTCGTATCTTTTCTGCTTAGTTTTACTTTAGTTGTTTTGTTCTTGTGTTGTCCCTCACTTTTCAGGTTAAACAAATTTATCCACTCATCTTCTCAGCAGTCCTAATCTTGCCAAAATAATGCTGCAAGTTACCATTGTTGTAAGGTAAATATCGTTCCCTGATTGCTACTGAGCCCACTGAGTACTTCTCTGAAACCAGTAAGACTTTTTAGAACCTAGGTGGCTTTGTGAACAATGCAGTTTCAAACACTGGTTGTGTAGAGATGCAATATTTCATGAGAAACAACCTGGAAGTTTATCCAACTTTGTAATACACAATTTGCAAGTTTGCAGTTGTCTGATCGGATTTACTTTGGGGTGTTTAGTGTAAAAGCCTATTGTTTTCTGAGTATTGTATGGAAATTTTACTAATCCAGCCTGGATGGGGTGGGGGGAGGGGCAAGAAGAGAATGTTGACGTTTTTCTATTAACTCATAAAATAAACTTTGTAAGTTGCCTTTCCCTTGAATGCATTTTGCTTGAATAAAACTATGAAAAATAAACTAATTATATGTAGCCTATTTGTAAACAAAGTAATATTCCAACAAGACACACTGTGCTTCCAATTTTAAGGCCTTATGTAGTTTAATTGTTCTGCTTGTTTTTTGTGATGGAGACTATTGTATACTTAAATGTAGTTTAAAGTATTGTGAAAACTTTGATTAAGATGTGCTGATTAACAGTAAATGATATTCCACACTCTTGCTGTTCTTCCTTTCTTTTTTCTGAAAAGAAGTAGCAACCGTTGCTTGTGATAGCAAAATAATAATCAGCTCCCCGTTTACTCTAGGAAATCTGATAACTGAAGCAGTAACACGTTGTTGTGAATTATTGGCACATTTCTGAATCGCCAGCTACTGTTCAGATCACCCTCTTGCCCCCATGCCTTGTCTGTCTTCCCTCTGCCGCTCAGCATACAGGTTTTCTGCTGCAGAGCTCTTAGAAACATTCTTCTGTAATTAATTCAAATTTAGCTTTCTTTGAAATCATCAGTGACTTCCTGTCTTGTGCTCTTTGGTTTGATAATAGAATACAAAGGAATTTGAGTTTATTATCAAGCAACTGGGTTCTTGTTTGTCTTTTTGATCAAGTATGCCTCAGTGTGTTCTCAACTTTATGTTAGTATTCAGGCACAGTAATATTAAAGTTTTTCATCCTAATCCAAGATTTTGCAATTGGAAATGCGCTTAAATAAGTATGTAACTCAGCTTTATTACATCATACGGTATACATGGTTTGATTTAATTTTCATTTCGGAGTTAGACGGAAATTTTTACCATTAGTGTTTAAGTGCTTTCTTTGTGATGAATTAAGCCCGTTTTGAGAGTCCTCTTCAGAAATTCGCAAAGAATGTAGAACCGCAATGATAAGTGTCACAGATTGGCCGATGGTACTGCAAATTGCAGGCAAATGATCCAGTGTTGTCACAAGGACTATCTGATTGTGCTGGGAATATTATGGCACCCTGTAATAGAAAAGACAGAAAAGGTGGCACAGCAGTTTTGCTGTTTTTTTTTTCTTCTGTGTTTTGTTGAAGCAGAACAAAAGACCTGACTAACTGTTTTGTCTTCAGTAGATGCAGCTGTGCTGGATTACAGTGATGAGTAAAGGTTCTGGTCTCCTTGGGACCACTTATGCAGGGTTAATTATTGCCATTTGGTTCTGATTTGTATTTCACACCTAGATTTTTCAGATGAGTTGTTTACTGAAGGAATTAAAATTGGTTTTAGGCACAGCTTAGCTTTCATTGAGAATTGTGTTACGGCAACAAACTTGTTACCCACATAAAGCAACTCTGAGCTATTGCAGCTAGGAGGAAAACATTTGACATGGTGGTTGTCTTGTCCTTAAACCATCATTTTGGTGAAATTGACAATGGGCTGTTGTGTTATGTTGTAAAGCAATTGTCTCGTGATAAACAAGAGTTGATTCATCATTCATTAACAAGACAATGTCTGTATTTTAAAGAAAAAGAAAAGAGCATTTTGTGAACCACGTGGTCTCATTCCTTTTTTTTCTTTAAGAAAAAAAAAAAATTACAGTAAACTGTCTTTTTCAGTTCTAGAAACCTTGGCAGATGAGCTTTAAAAACAACTTATTTTTACGTACAGTGGGAGATTACCTTCTAAAGGTGGAGATCTTTTGGGATGTGTTTTGCTGTCTCGCATTCCCAGCAATGCATTAAAAAAAATAATCCCCTCTCTCTATTGTGTGCTTGTGGCAGCAAAGAATTCTAGTGTTTAGAATTTCATGGTATGTTCAGTTAGCTACTCTTACTGTCTGATTTCAAACTTGCTTTCCTTATCAAGCTTTTTTTTAGTGGAAAAAAAAAAGTTGCATGTTTACTTTTGGGCTCTTTCAGTTGGATGACATTGTGCAGCAGGGATAGCTGCTTGATACCTCTCACTATGGAATATTCCAGGTCCTACAGACACCAATTTTTCTCACTATACAGTAGAAAATGTTAATATCTTAAAGACAGAAATAAGGAAAATAGTGTTTGAGAACCAGAAGAAAAAGTATCCTGCGTACATAGGGGGCTGGTCACTTGAAAGCAGCTTTGCAGAAAAGGAGTTGGGGACCCCGATGGACAACATGCTGACCATGAGCCAGCAATGCACCCTTACAGCAAAGACGACCAACGTCATCCTGGGCTGCCTTAGGCAGAGGCTTGCCAGCAGGGCAAGGAAGGTGATCCTTTCCTTCCACTCAAGCCCTGTGAGCAAAGACACAGCTGGAATGCTGGATCCAGTTGTGGGCTCTCCAGTGTAAGGAAGATAGGGATGTACTGAAGCAAGTCCAGTGCAGGGCTGCAGCTATGACTGAAGGACTGGAGGGTGTGTCCTAGGAAGAGAGGCTGAAAGAGCTGGGGCTGTTCAGCCTGGAGAAGAAAAGGTTCGGGAGGGTCTTAAACGTCTCTGATGGAGAGAGGAAGGGGTAAGAGCTAAACTCTCACCAGTACTGCCCACCGAGAGGACAAGAGGCAGTGAGCACACACTGAAAAAGAGGAAATCTGATCTGAGTACCAGAAAAAAACCTTTTTTTTTTTTTTTTCTGTGAAGGTTGTCAAACACTGAAACTGGCTGTGGAGGTCCCATCTTCACAGATACTCAGAACTCAACTGAGTGCAGCCCTGGGGAGCAGCCTGCTGTAGCTGACCCTGCCCTGAGCACGAGAGTTGGACTAGGTGATCTCAAGGAGTCTTCAGCCATTGTGTGGTTTTGTGAGGTATGGCGTGCAAATCCTTTAGATGGTTGGCACCACACATGTTTGTGTGCCATCACTGTACACCGGCTCACAAATGGAGACTGTTGAGTTGCAAAAATTGTCTTCATTTAGTGCTCCCTACTTTTGATGGTTTACTTGTCAGCAACAGAAAGCAACAAAAACTTTTCTGGAAAAAGCCCTTATCTCTTAATCCTGAGACCACCACTGTTCAATGTGCTGCTGCTGAGTCCGACTCTGACACCAAAATTTATACCACAGGCGTCATCAGAGATCACGTTGCTACCCTACTAAAAAGGAAGATTGAAAAGCTGGATGTAAAGTGTGGACATGTTATCCTGAAAAGAGAAAAAGTGCTTGAAAGATGTCAAACATTCTCAAAGGTGGGAACGTTGCATTCACAACTACTATTATCCTGTGTGCTTGGCAAGCAGCAGGAGACTGAACGGAAATAGGATTGTTTTGGATGGTTTTAATAAAATTAGTTAATAAAGCTTGTTCTACTTCACTTGAATAGTGTTTGTGAAAAAAAATGAAAAGTTTATGTTCTCATTGAGGGAGGGGAAGGTTTTGCATGAGCTACCAGCTATGCATCAGGCTTGCTCCTCTTCACTTAAACAGTTCAGATAACGTTTGACTCTTTCCAATTGTTAAAAGTTGGTGCGAAAACCTGTTGTGCTTAAGTAGCACCAGACTGAAATTTCAGCATGAAATACCCTTAGAACTCTTAACATATGGAACTTCTTAACCAATTTACAGTGAGACAATATTAATTGTAAAAGAGCTGTAGAAAGCAGCAATGTTTCCCTGCGAAGAAATTTCATTGGATGATAATGATGATAAATTCTACAATAACTACACCTCCTTCTTTTTTTTTTTTTTTACTTTTCGAGTAAAACCTCTTGCTCGCTCTTTCTGTGAAAGGAAGTAAAATTCAAGCATATTTCTGGCAAAATGGCAAGGAAAATGCTTTAAGAAAGAGGATATTGTAAAAGAAATGTTCTTAAAACATTAAAACGACCCTGACAGTGCAGGGTGAATGGTTGGACTCAGTGATCTTGAAGGTCTCTTCCAACCAAATGATTCTATGATTCTATGACTAAAAATTGATTACTCTGCCAGTGACGAGGGGTCCAACCTTAAAAGAAGTATCTCAACATCAACTATTCCCTAGAGGTGTTTATGAGGTATCTTAGTCTAATAATCTATTTCACAATAATTAGAAAACCTCAAAAGAATTTTCTCTGCCTGGAAGAGGTTTTCTGGTTGAGAAATGAGGCATCATACAAATGGCTGCAATTTTAATGTTTCATTTTCAAATTTATTTTGCTTGCGGAGTGCAAATAGTTTTCTGACCTTCAGCACCGAAGAGAAGTGGAAGATAAATTTCTGAAGATTAGTCAGTCACTTTACTTTCCTATTATTTTAGAAGGAATGTCAAGCACATGTCAAGTAGGTAGCTGTGCCCTGTCTACTAGAGCACAGGGTATATGCATATGAATGGAATCAGGCTGTCATATTAGGACATTTTTTTCTTCCAAAACCACAAAGCCACGACTTTTTTTGCCCAAAATTTTTTTCTGGAGCTAGGTAAATAGTGGATTTACGATATTCTTCTAAAAGAGAATTATAGCAAAGATCCAAATGAGTCTTAAGTTAGAACAGCATTTTAAGTAGTTTGATCAGTAACTCATCTAGTACCTCAAAGACATGTAACAAAAGTACAAGTTTCTCTCGAGCATCTTAAACATTGCAAAAGTCCTTGGCAAGTCATCTACTTTTAAAGATCATCTGGTCTAAGTACACTTTAAATGTGAAAGGGTTGTAAGCCATCGCAAGGAGATTGTGCCCTCAAAATCACTAGCAGCTTTGTCAGAGCATTACTGATTTGGAGGCACATAGGATGCATTGTGATTTTGCCCCGTATCTTGATTAAAATAAGTTTGCAAGGTCTGTTTGGTGGATGCTACATGCTATTCAGAACAGGAACAGAACTGTGAAGGTCACTGGTTCGAAATGGCTTCCCAGGATGGTGCTATTTTGTATGTTAATGGTGATGTTCTAATTTGTTAGAAGCACATGCATGAAAGGTTTGGGTAATAAAACCTAAGTGCCGATGAGAAGCATTGTGGTTTTCAGACCTTTCTTCTACCCAAGATGGCATATGATTGTGCTAAATATGTAGTTTACGTCTTTATATAGTATTTGGCCAACTCTTTTGTAGGATGCTGTACAGAGAAGGGCCAAGTATTGTGTGATTTACTTACAAAATTCTGTTTGTGTTGTAGTATCATTTATAGTTAGCAACGAACTCGAATAAAAGCCACTACCTGTCAGAGGTTTTGTGGCCACTCAAGTGGTGTAACACAGACCATGTGCTTGGAGCCAGAACAGGAGGATAGACAGAGAATATATAGGCTTTAAAAAGCGTATGAGTTCCTATTCTGCTGTAGTCATAGGACCCAGCACTCTCT